ATCTGTCCCGTCAGCATGCAAAGAGAAAGAGCAAGGTAAGAATCTCCATGGAGATTTGAGGGGCCAGGCCCAGAAGTGGAAGACAACACCTTTATTCACATTCCGTTGATGAGAGCTTGTCATATGGCTCCAACTTAACTGCCAGGGAGGCCAGGAATGGCCAGGAGGAGGGGTCAGGACTGGCAAGCATTTCCTCAGTCTCTGCCACACCATTCTTGTTCTGCATGGAGCATGGTGACTTCCAGGTATCTGCCTCATAAGCAAGTTTGATTATGGCCTTTTAGGTACCTGGGGTTTACAGAAAGTGATGAATAACCCTCAACAGATAGGGAAGACCAAAAGGTTTCTGACCCTGTCAGAGCAAATGAACACGAAACTCTGCCAGAGCAGTTCTAACCTCCTCTCCTGCCCACATGTGCCTTCACGTTTTTCTGCATTCCTAGGAGTACAATATTTGGGCCCAATTCCAGCCATAACACCAACTCAAACTTTGCAATGTTCAGCAGCAACTTGAGACTCTGAATTTCAAGGCCTGTTTTCTTGCTAAGACAAATGGATTTTGAGAGCCACGGGTTTTAGTTTTTACTGGTGGTTTCTCCCTTTTAACTCTTCTTACACTTCACTTATTTTTGTTGAGCTGTACGTGATCTTGTCCAATATCATGGGAAACAGCCCACCTAAATCAATTATCAATAGTTCAGCCAGGGTGGGAACAAATTCAAACAGCCCATTCTAAAGCAATATATTTAAATATTTTCTAATTCATGGTAAATTAAATCCAATGAGGATACCCTGCATATCCCAGTGAGGAAATTTTTATTTTCCCATCTTCTTTCTTGGTTTAATCTTATTCACTTTGGGCTTATTCTGTGATCCGCATCTCATGATTGTTTCCCTCAAGTAATCAAAAGAAATAACAAGGCCATAAAGATGAGAAACAAAGATATATGTCAGAACAGGGTGGTATTTCATGTATAAAATAATAAGATCCAAACCCCAGTTCCATCCCATGAACAAGTATGGGACATTGGGGCAACATACATGAAATGAAAGTGTTGACTCCTACAAGGTTCTCATTTGTTGATTTGTTCAATAACAATTAAATACCAAATTACAGGCAGCTAGACAAAACAAAGAACAGAAAGCAGTTGAAAAAAGAAGATGTACAATTATATAGCAACCTTAATAGAACAACTATGTAACAACCTTCATGTAGTCTTCATTTTGAAGTAATTTGACAAATACAGACCACAGTTCGAAATATCACCTCGGAAAGACGGATTGCTGTGGAATGGGTTGAGAGCAGGAAGTCTTCAGGAAATTAAAGGAAAGACATCATGTGGAGTAGGGAAGAGGAGGTTCTACAGGGAGGGCAGAGGATAAGCAGAGACGAATATGGGAATATACAGGAAAAGAAGAGAGCACACTGAAAACTGTGTGACTGAAGTCAGGCATGTATAATGGGCTGCTCTGTGAAAGAAAGTTGAAAAATATGGTCCATGGAGCAAGGCTCATCGTTACTAGGCTGAGCCCAGACTTGAAGTAATCAGAAATAAGGAAATAGTATAGGGCCTTAATCAGGAGAGAGAGATGATGAAAGCAGTGATGAATCTGGCTGCAGGCAGGAGGATAGATTAAAAGTGAGAAGACCAGTAAAGAGGCTGTTGCAAAAATTTATACGAGACTTGATAGGGACTTGGCTCTGAGAGGTGACAGCTGACACGAAGACCCAGGGACAAATCCAAGAGTCTCTGTGGAGAAAGGAAAGATGCTTGTAAATAAAGGAGTAAAGGAGAGGAAAGAGGGCATGAAAATCCTGGGGATGAGAACACGGGTGGTGGCATTGAAGACAAGAGGAATTTATCAAGTAGAGGATGCATTTTTTTCAGATTAAATTTTGTAACGTATATTTATGAGTTAGTCATCCATGGAATATTTCTTTTTAACTTCTAATTCTAAGACACATGGTTAAAATTAAGGTTAATATTCTTGTTGGCTTAAGTTTTATATAACTTTGAAATTTACAAGGTTGGGGGGATTGAGAATACATATCAAGATATTATATGTTGCCAGGTCATGTTTTAATCTTTAGCAGAATAGCAGAACAGTGCTACATGTAATCAAAACATATTTTACTAGGAGAAGCAATCAGAGCTCAAGACAAAAATGGTTCTTGGATAAGGATAGCTGGTATAAGACAGCTAATTGATCTTTTAAGGATCATGTGAATTTGTACCTGACGTTTTCTCTTCTTTTTTATAGTTACTTCAGTAACAAACAGAAAGTGGCCCAACCGATGCCAAAATCCAAAGAAAAATAGACCCTCGACCCAGAATAAGGTAGATACCAGGCAAGATGTTTTTAAAAACCTGGTGAAAAGCAAAGCATGCAAATTTCAGGAAGAGAGAAATGTCTGTATGTGAAATGAATGTAAACATGAAGATCTTCCAGGAGCAAATGGGAAAGGCAAAAGAATAAGCAAAACACCCCACCCAGAACAGAGACTTTGGAAGAAAGTTGTGGTAAATAAAAGTAAACTGGAGATCTGGAGCTCCTCAGATTAGAAATGTGTAAATTACCACAAAGTAAAATCACATACAATATTTAGCAGCGAGACTTTAGCTTTTGGCATTGTCAAAAGTACGATCTTTTCTCAGATTCTGGAGTTTCCAGTTTACTAAAAAAGCGTAACCTCCAGTACCAGAATAAAGGTGGCCTGCCTCTTGTAGTGCTATGGAAGGTAGAAGAGCGCCATTGGGAACATGGAGAAGTTCTGCATTAGAATTTTGGCTGGGCACGGTGGCTCACACCTGTACTCCCAGCACTTTGGGAGGCCAAGGTAGGCAGATCACTTGAGGTCAGGAGTTCAAGACCAGCCTGGCCAACATAGTGAAATCCTGTCTCTACTAAAAATACAAAAATTAGCCCAGTGTGGTGGCACACCCCTGTAGTCCCAGCTACTTGGAGGCTGAGGCAGGAGAATTGCTTGTACTCGGAAGGCAGAGCTGTTTGTTTGGGACCTCTGCCATGGGTTCCCACAGACAAGACTGTAGAACTAAATAGTTTCCAAAATGTAGATACATAGATGGGATTGCAGAAGAAGCAAGTTGGGGATGTGTTTGAAATTAAGGTATGTATAAATATTTCTAATTGACCTCCAATATAATTATTCCCTTCTGGCTCAGTAACAGAATTTCCAAAGGTTAGCAGGGCATTTGGCTGCCTAAAATAAAGACTAGCTTTTTTTTTTGCAGCTGAGATGTTGCCCTACAATGAAGTTTTGGTCAATGGATTATAAGAGGAAGTCGTGTGTGCAATTTCAGGGAGTATGCCCTGTTGCTCTTCCTTTCTCCTTTCCTGCTCACTGAAATCTAAGCATGATGGCACAGGCTACAGAAGCCATCTCAGACCACAAAGTGAAAGCCACGTGTTGAGGATGGTGAGGCAAGAAGAGAAGAGCCTGGGTCCCTGATGATAAGGGAGCAATCGTACCAACCATAGATAGTGTTTACTTGAAAGTGAGATCAACGTCCACATTGTTAGAGTCCCTGACAATTACCTAACAATTAAAGTTACCTCAGGATAACTTGAACTTACAGAGGCAGGACAGGCTCGACCCAAACCAAACTGGTACACAGCTTCTTGCACTAAAAAGCAGAAAGCTGCATTCAAGGTAGATATTACGGTGAGTCCGATCGGTGTGAATGAACGTGAGTTTTAGTTTTAGCTTGACAGTGAGAAAAAAAGGAAAACGAAGTACCCACCTAATTAGATAACCGACAAGGTGGGGATTGGGGAAAATGCAGCCAACATACCTATCACTTTCTGCTTAGAAACACACAAAATAGAAAAGGGGGATTAGGCTTTGAGCCGAAAGTGAGGGGCTTTACATAATAATCATTAGCCAACAACGGACTAAGAGTTTCCCGGTTATAAACATGGGACAGAATGGAGGGTGTTTCCCAGAAAAAAAAAGTGCATTGTAAGGAACAAAATCAACAGCAACCTTGGAAAATGTTTGCAGGGCTAAGAAAATACAGTAGAATTTTCCTAGGCAGAAATTTCACAGTTAAACCACGAATATGCGGCAACAGGGTTTTACTACAAGCCAAATATCTATGAGATAAAAACTGGAAATACTAAATGAAAGTGAAGAAATCACAAGATTAAGCAAGTTAGAAAAACGATGGACCTCGTTTAACCGTACGAACTGGCTAAACGCCGTTTGGTAAGGAGCATGGGGATCAAACAAATGACTGTTCTTTAGAATTCACAAACAAAGGAAATATCACAGTTGGGCTTTAAGAGCCAGATAAGAATTTACAGAGAAAGTATTTTCATAGGAACCACCATGTAATAATGGTTACAACATAATTTAGTTCCACATTCTGGCAGAAAATAAAAAATATTCATTATTCAGTTACCCAGTTTTAAAAAGGGAACTGTAATTAACTCACAAGCAGTCAATTTGAAACAACAACAACAAAAGCATTAGGGGAATCATATCAAGAAAAATTAATTGAGAAAACCAGGTTATTGTTTAAACATTACTAGAAACCAAAGGAAAGTGCTTGCCAGAGACCAAAAAAAAAAAAAAAAAATCTGATCCTTTAAAAAAAAAAAACAAGAAAAAGGAAAAAATCTATATGACCACTAATAGTTAAAAACAAACAAAAAACAAAAACCACTTCTATTTTGGGAAGAACACTTTTTTTTTTTTTAATTTGAGACAGTCTCTCGCTCTGTTGCCCAGGCTGGAGTGCAGTGGTGCAATCTCAGCTCACTGCAACCTCTGCTTCCCAGGCTCAAGCAAATCTCCTGCCTCAGCCTCCCAAGTAGCTGGGATTACAGGAGTGTGCCACCATGCCCGGCTAATTTTGTATTTTTAGTGGAGATAGATTTTCACCATGTTGCTAGGTTGGTCTTGAACTTCTGACCTCAAGTGATCCACCCACCTCGGGCTCCCAAAGTGCTGGGATTACAGGCATGAGCCACCGCGCCTGGCCTCTTTTTTTTTTTTTTTCCTTTAAATGTAAAGGTTGACCAAGTGAGACTCACAGGAACAGGGGACACACAGATTGTGAGGGACAGGTGTAAACCAGAAACTGCTGGGAGCTTTCAGTGCTGGAGTAAGAGAATGAGGAAGGTCAGCTGGAAGTCTGTGGGACCTCCTTTGATCATGGCACAAAAGATTTAATAGAAGATGGAAGTAAAAAAAAGAGACAGCGAGAAAGAGACTAAATGAAGATTTTAGTGAAATTTTGTCTCCCAAATTCCATTTGAAAGTACTGATTGGAGACACAAGAACAAGCAGCAATAAATGCCCAGAATGTTCTAGATGTGGCTGATAGAATGAAGTCATCAGAGCCAGAGAGCTACTCAGGAGCTCTGAAGGAAGTATTTCCAAAAATGTGTAAGAAGCCATAGTCAACGCGTGACTTCAGATCGCCAAGTAAGCATCTCATCTGCGTGAATATCTTCAAAAAATGTACCAACAAAACAGAAGCTTCACGTATTTAACAGGTAAACTAGTAGAAGAGAAAATCAAGTAGAAATCCTCCATATTTTTCAAATGTGGCAAAATAGGGGAAATCAGGCTAAAGGAATCTAGTATTTTAGGAGAGAAACAAACATGAAGACTAGGAGAATTCGTGGACATAATGTATTTAGAGGTTTAAGGTTCTCAATATGAAAAATAATTTACATGGAAAGAAATAATTTAATTTTACCTGAAATACAACTTGGTCTATTTTAAAAAACAAAACAAAACTCAGATCTGACCGAGGCCTTACAGAGCAGAGTAGTTTAATCACGATAATTTCTTGAGGGTATGCAGAAAAGATGCTGCATTGCACATCACATAGCACAGTGCTAAAATTCTTTCAATACCTCTCTTCTCGAAGAGCGTGAGTGTGCATATGTGTGCACGCCCCCACTTCACCCTCCTCACCCACATAGACCCAAAAGTTAGTTTGATGGCTTCAGCAAGAGAAAACCCCTCATTTGGCCCAAATATTAACCATCTACAGTTCTTTAAATATGCTCTTGGGAATATTCAATTCACTCTGCCATGTAAGACAGAAAACGTTTCGGAAGAAAATCAAAACATCGTTCTATCTTTGCACATGTGGAAAAAAGTGATGATGATAACAGCTAACACTTTCATAGCATTTACTAATGCTTTATGTATATCAGCTCCTTTAATATGGCCTATTATCATTATCATCATCATTATTCCCTTTACACACATGAGGAAACTGAGGTCACACAGCTTAAGGAGCAGGACAGGTTTACGACCCTGTTCTTTCTTCTGGCTCCAGAATACATGTTTTTTACCACCACCATATGGACTCTCTTCTCTCCCCAGTGGCTTTCTCTTCCTGAGTCTTCTCTGTGGATGCCACCTTTGCACGGCTCCTACCTACTTCTCCCTCCCCTTTACCACTCAGTAGCTGGGCCCGCGTGGATTCCTCCAGCAGCCACTCCCTGCCTGCGATTTTGCAGAAACATGCGTCCACTCTCACGCACACTCACGCTCACACATGCACCGTGCAAACTCACTCTCACACGCACACGAACTCACACACATACCATCTTTTCTCCATACAGTCAGAGTGTGGGGTGTCCAGCACTTCAAGCACTTAAAGTCAGCACTTCTGCTTCCTGCCTGGTAAGAGTAAACAAACAAGAAAATAAATAAACAAGAACACAAGTGTTCACTTTTTAAATGATTTAAAACACAGATGTTGATTGCAGTGGGGTGTCAGGAGACTATATCTCACCGTTTCTGAACACTTGAGGGTAAAATTAGGAACAAAATGTATTTGAAATCTTCCAGAAATTGGCTTCCTGAGACTCTAAAAGTGGAAGTAAGAATGCGTCTTCTGGGCACGCTTTTCTTGGTTCTGGACGGGAGCAAGTTGATGATCTCAGGGTAGTGGCCACTCTGGGTCCACGTGGCAATGGATGCCAGAGCCTGTCCCAAGCTTGCCCTGCCAAGAATATTAGCACCCAAGGAAGGGCCATGGAGGGAGCAAATTTTAAATGTAGTAGTGTTGGGAGCAGGCCAGTCTGGGGAGCGAGTTGGTGTGTGTTGCAGACTGGAGGGAGCACTGTTCCAGAAAGGGGAAGAGCAGGCCAGTGGGAATCTAACTCTTTTACCCTTTAAAGAACAATTGTGTGCCCGCAGCAGTGACCCAAAACAGAGATCCAGGCACAGCTCATTCCCTGGAACAAAACCAGTAACAGTGAAGTGTTCTTGGAACTCAACAGTAGGGCTCTTCCAGCTTCAACAGGGCACCTGAGTTCTGGGCCCAGCATGAGAAAATAGGCACCAATAAGGCTCCACCATAGTTCCTGTCCATATAAGGGGAGGGAGGGGCTAAGAGAGGAAGACTGGATTTCCTAGGCATGTGGGGAGTAGAGAAGGTATTAATTTCAAAAATATGTGAAATGTGACTTTATTTGTTACTCTATGTATGTGAAATGGGTCATATCAATGACATTGGCTATTATTATCATTTCTTCCTTCTCCCACTCTCCATTCCATCTCTAGAACCATGCCCTGGACCACTGCCTTCTTCAGACTTCCTGAGACCAACATTACAGATCACTGTTTGACCCTATTCTGCCCTGACATCATTTCATCATCAAAGAACACCTGTGCTTTTGTGATATGTTTATGTTCTAATCTGGTCCTCAAATTTTTGGGACCACAAGATGCATTTTATCTGTTTACTCTGTATGATCCAATGGTTATAAATTGATTCGCACTAATTAAACCCACAAAAGGCTGATTCACAAACTGAGAGAACAATGTGTTAAATTACAGAGAAAGATTAAACTGGGGTGAGAAGCAAGGACATGCATTTGAAAGGCCACTGTATTTGGGGTGAGTCCACCCTAGAAGCCAACAGCAAAGCCAAGCATGGCCTTGTCAATGCAGAATCCATGCAAAGATGTTTGTATGTTGTCATGTGATATTTCTAGAAAGTTCTGGTAGACTGAGAATTTGCCTTTCATGATGGTTATGCTTGAAAAACCAAGTCCGGTATTTAGAAGGAGATAGTCTTCTCCCTGGAGGGGGCCAGGGTGACATTGATAAATTCTTACAACTCAACCCTCATTTTTCCCATTGTCAAAGAAAGATATTCTCATTCTGTTTGTACTTGTCGTTATGCTTAGATTATCAAACTTACAGGTAACTTTTATCAATTATACTTTGATGGGTAATTTAGATTGTGTCAAATAAGTCTAAGCATCATAGCACAGCACCTAAGGGCTGGAAAAACATTGGTAATCATCTCGTTCAGTGGTTTTCAAATTGCATCTCAGGGACCCAACAGGCTGCTGGATTAGGTAGCTAGAAGTGTGAGGAGGAAGCTGAGTAAGCAGGCTGTGGCCGGCCATCATTCCCTTTTAAGGAGCTTGAATTATTCAAAGTGCAGTAGCCATTGATACATTTTAGTATAGAGTGATACAATGAAATTTACCTTTTAAAGAATCAATTTGAGTGAAGTGATTGGAGAAGGCAAGAGTAGAAGACCACCAAGGAAGTTATATAGCATTTGTCCAGAGCAGCCATGGTGGTGTTGGGGACCAGGGTAATAGCAATAGAGTTAGAGACAAGTGGATGGATTTCAGATGTAATTTAAAGTTACAATTTGATAGGACTTGGCTAGTGAGGAAGCAGAAATTATCTAGAATTCACTCATGTACCCCAACTGGAAAATGTATTGAGTACTAACAATGGGCTAGGCACTAGGGTAGGTGTTCAGCTAGACAACCAAGTCCCTGCCCTTCCTGGAGTTCATATTCTAGTAGAAGGAGATGAACCATAGATGAGCATACGGGGAAAAGCTAACGTGCTCTGAAAGAGCTTGGGAAATTAATTGTAGGATCCACACTGTTTTCCTTCTTTCAGAGATCTCTGTTCTGAACCACCTGCTGTTACAATCAACCAAGTATCCAATCCCCTCAAAATCATTGCATATGTTTTGCCTATTTCTCAGTGTGGAAGATGGAAAGGTCAATCTACTCCCTGTTATTTCATCATGGCCAGAAGTAGAAGTAACTTTTTCTTGCATAAATGTGGTAGAAGGGACAAAGGAAAGGAAGAAGTCAAAACTCCTCATGCTCTGACTTAAAAGCACAGTAGACAGTTGTGAGACAGAACCAGATGGCTTTGGATTTATTTTTGTTTCTTCCTCTCTTCCTCCCTTCCCTCCTTTCCTCCCTCCCTCCCTTCCTTCCTTTCTTTTGTATATGTGTGCTTTAAGTTTTGTTTTGTTTCAAAGATTCCTGAGAGCAGAGTGATGTGGAAAGGATGGAAATCAATGGACTGGCTCTGAACATGCTGAGTTTGAGATGCCTGTAGCACCTGTGGCACAAGAAAGTTCCAAGAGAAGGCCAGGGATATTCTTGAGCACTTGGGCACATGAAGATATAATTCACTGAGATGGAGAATCTGTAGGAGCAGATTCATGGAGAGAGATTTAGCACTCAGATGTTGAGAAGTTAATTTTGAAATATCTATGAGACATTGAAATATCAACATCAAATAGGCAGTTCAATATTTACTTGTGGAGCTTAGAAAGAAGAGCTAGACTGCTTACATAAATTTAAGACTCTTCAACATAGAGGTGGCATTTAAATCATGGTAAAGGATGAGGTTACTTTGGAAGAGAGAGAGAAGAAAGGAAAGCAGAAGAGGAAAGGAAGGAAGAGCACAGGAGAAGAAAGAAGATGAGAGGGCGGAGGGGAGGCGAGAGGAGAGAGGAGGGGAGAGGAGAAGAGAGAAGAGGAGAGGAGAGGGGAGGGGAGGGGAGCGGAGGGGAGGGGAGCGGAGGGGAGGGGAGGATCTAACGAGCCACCAGCGTTTAGATGAGTATCAGCGTTTAGAGGCTGCACATAGGAAGAGAGACCATCAAAGAAGAATAAAAAAGGACTGGCCGGGCGGGCGCGGTGGCTCAAGCCTGTAATCCCAGCACTTTGGGAGGCCGAGGCAGGCGGATCACAAGGTCAGGAGATCGAAACCACAGTGAAACCCCGTCTCTACTAAAAATACAAAAAATTAGCCGGGCGAGGTGGCGGCGCCTGTAGTCCCAGCTACTCAGGAGGCTGAGGCAGGAGAATGGCGGGAACCCGGGAGGCGGAGCTTGCAGTGAGCCGAGATCGCGCCACTGCACTCCAGCCTGGGCAACAGCGTGAGACTCCGTCTCAAAAAAAAAAAAAAAAAAAAAAAGGACTGGCCACAGAAGAAAGAGGGGAAAGTATAGTGTATTTTCAAAAGAAAAAGTATTTCAGGAGGGAATATCAATTGGTTCAAATGCTGCTGAGAGGTCGAATAAGGTAAGAATGTAAAAGTGTCCATAGGATTCAGTATTGGAAAGTATTTAGGATTTGAAAGTCACTAGTGGGTTTATTAAAAGCAGTTCCTTAGAAAAGGAATTTCCCTACAAAGGACACAAACTCATCCTTTTTTATGGCTGCATAGTATTCCATGGTGTATATGTGCCACATTTTCTTAATCCAATCTGTCACTGATGGACATTTGGGTTGATTCCAAGTCTTTGCTATTGTGAATAGTGCTGCAATAAACATACGTGTGCATGTGTCTTTATAGCAGCATAATTTATAATCCTTTGGGTATATACCCAGTAATGGGATGGCTGGGTCATATGGTACATCTAGTTCTAGATCCTTGAGGAATCGCCATACTGTTTTCCATAATGGTTGAACTAGTTTACAATCCCACCAACAGTGTAAAAGTGTTCCTATTTCTCCACATCCTCTCCAGCACCTGTTGTTTCCTGACTTTTTAATGATTGCCATTCTAACTGGTGTGAGATGGTATCTCATTGTGGTTTTGATTTGCATTTCTCTGATGGCCAGTGATGATGAGCATTTTTTCATGTGTCTGTTGGCTGTATGAATGTCTTCTTTTGAGAAATGTCTGTTCATATCCTTTGCCCACTTTTTGATGGGGTTGTTTCATGGATGCAGCTGGAAACCATCATTCTTAGCAAACTATCACAAGAACAGAAAACCAAACACCGCATGTTCTCACTCATAGGTGGGAACTGAACAATGAGATCACTTGGACTCAAGAAGGGGAACATCACACACCGGGGCCGATCATGGGGAGGGGGAAGGGAGGAGGGATTGCATTGGGATTTATACCTGATGTAAATGACGAGGTGATGGGTGCAGCACACCAACATGGCACAAGTATACATATGTAACAAACCTGCACGTTATGCACATATACCCTAGAACTTAAAGTATAATAATAATAAATAAATTTTAAAAAAAAGACAAAAAAAAAAAAAGAAAAGGAATTTCAACCACAGTAAGGTGGAGAATGAATGGGAGGTGATGCAGAGGCAGGATATGTAGAGAGTTCCCTCATGGGGAATGAAAAACTAGAGTATCCTGGAGAGACATGGCACGTTAGGGAAGGTTGATGTTTGGTTTTAAGATGCAAGACACAGAGAGTATTTGGATGATAAAGAAAAGAGGTTAGGAATGCAGAGAGAGAGACTAACAGGCAGAGCAAGGCTCTTGAAAAGGTTCCTGAAAGGTCTGGGATCCAGAACGTACTTTGTAATGGCCACTGCCACATTCTCCTGTTAGCTCTAGCAGATCTCCCCTAATGGGCTAAGACTTCTTTCAAAGCAGGGATCCATCCCCAACCCTCAGTTCTTTTCTGAGCCCACGTATGGCATAACAAAAGCAAGTGTTTGAAATATTAATACTTCTTCAATAAATTAATATGTACACAAGGCAAATGAATGAATAAAATTTATCTGATAAAATCTGCCCTTTAAAGAGAAGTAAAGATATCTATGTATTTAATTACTCCTAGACCAGAAAATATTTTCTATAGCTTTTGGTGACTGTCCCCAGAGTAGAAAATAAGCACAATAAGAGCAAAATTTTTATTATTAATATTTTAGAGACAAAGAATGTGCTTTTTTTCCCCAAACTAATCACAACTGATGAATAGCTACTTCCTGTGTAGACCCAAAGGCTTCTTTCATCTTCTAGGGCAAAGAGTAATTGCTATATTGTACATCTAAAATCCATTCTCATTTATCAAAAAAAAAAAAAAAGAAAACCTTAGTTTGGAAAGTACTACATAAATTATTTCCATTATTTCCATAATGTGTCTCTATATGTTGACATAGTATTAGTATGCCATTAATTTTCAATCATTAGGCAAGTAATAGAATCAAATCCTGGTAATAGAATCAAATTCAAAACAATGAATAGTAAGTGGAGTGGAAGACAGCAGATCTGTCAGCCTAATTTGGGCTCATTTGGACTAATAGTCCATATCAGAACACTGATGACAGAGGTTCAGCTCCAAAGTATTTTGTGTGTCAAGGGGTCGACTCAGAAATTTTTAATTCCTGAGATTTATTTACAAAGTGCATTAAGAACCAGTTGAAAAGATAGACCCCTATACAGGAAGAAGGTCATGTAGTTCAGGGACATAGCAAAAGGCAAAATTAGAGCATAGCATATACAACTAGAACTGAGAAATTATCTAGTCGTTCCCTTTCATGTCACACATGAATATAAAACCCAGAGCAATTACATGACTTGCCCAAGGTCACATAGCCAGTTTAATGAGACATCCCCACAGGAAGTGGTATCTGGTGATATCCTAGTTCAGTGCTCTACACTGTTTTACATCCCCAATGAGTTTTTGTTTCCAATGTCTTCTACAGCAAAAAGAATTGTCTTCAAATTCTAAAGGATATTTTAAAATATAAAGAATAAACTGAAACCCAA